TTCTGTTATTTCTTATTTTTGTTTTGTTGTAATTTCTCCATTTTCCTTTCTTATTTTGCTAATTTGTGCTCTCTCTTTTTTCTTCTTTGTGAGTTTGGCCAGAGGTTTGTCGATTTTATTTACTTTTTCAAAAAACCAGCGTTTGGTTTGGTTGATTTTCTCTATGGTCTTGTTAATCTCTATTGTATTTAATTCCTCTCTGATCTTTATTATTTCCTTCCTTCTGCTGCTTTTTGGGGCTTTTTGTTGTTCTTTTTCTAATTGATTCAGGTGGTGGGTTAACTTGTTTATTTGAGATTGTTCTTCTTTTTTGAGGAAGGCCTGTATCTGATCATTCTTAATGTTTGGAAAAATTCTATCCAGAGAACCAATTTTAATTTCAAAATTCCTTTTGGTCAATAGTAATTTAAATGAAATGTGAACAAAAATTAATTTTCTTTTTCTTTTCTCTTTTCCTGTTTAGTGAGTGATAGTTGCTTCAGGAATCTTGCAGAAGATCGCAGCGGGATAAATCTCAAAGATCTCGTACAAGATCCCTCTTTGTGAGTATTTGGTTTTCAGTACTAAATATAATTTAAAACTGAATGGTTGGTATGACTTTTTGCAAAAGAATTGTAACTGAAAACTGATTTAAGTTTAAGTAATTTCTTCTAACAATTTGTGTAACATACAGTGAAGCATATAGAATAGTTTCAACTGAAGTGAAGTTATGGGATAGTTTCTGCTTGGAAATAGAAGATGTTAGAAAAACAGATGATGTTATGATTAATGATTGACTTTCAAACTGTATCTGGTAATGGTTGATATGTTACCAGTGAGGCAATAGATACTAGACAGGGAAGATATTTGGTAGTTTATTTACTTGCAAAGGCGAGATTGCATTTGTTTAGTCAATTTTAAGCTTTTTTGAATAATTTATAATAATCATTTGTAAGTATAATTACAAGTATAAAATTATTATTTGTAGTACCAAATGTACTTGACTATCTTGAATATAGTTCTAATGTTTTA